GTAAGCTGGATCGTCGTAAAGAAAACTCCAACTTGCAGACTAATTCGTCGAAACTGCTTGTTGATAGGCGAAAACATTTATAAAATTTATAACCTCGTAAATCGGAGAAAGATGTTACGTGTTCGCCTCTCAGTAACCTTGTAGCGTTATAAGGATCAACTTCTCTTCTTCTAAATCGGTGTTGCTTTTTCCATAAAATGTAAACAGCCAGTACTCTAAGAGCATTAACGTGAGCCATTTTGTACACGACTGTCTCACAGCAGCGGAACGCGCGGTACAAATCTCGTTTTATAGTGCACCGCTGTTCAAGCGCGCGCTGTTAATAGCCCAGCGGCCAGCGGCGCGTCTAGCGGCGTGACGATAAAACCACCCTAGTAGTACTCATTACGGCCAGTAGGAACTTCTTATCGTTAGGTGGACTGAAAGCTACTTCATCATATTGATATTATATTATGTCTACGTAATATGTCTAGGTTTTCAAAATATACAATATTTATCATGACGGGCTAGTGGGGATGATTATGAGAGCATTATATTCATTAATAACGATTGAATCATCGATTTACGACTGTTACCATCATCGTCGCCACCGACCCGACTAGTATGCACGCACGATTAATAGGTATACTCAACACTGACAAGATAACTGTCAAACTTATAATTATTTCTACTTCGTTGGGTACTTACTAAAAGTACATTGTAAAAGTGTGCAGAGAAAAAAACTAATAGTGATCCCATCGGGAGGTTTAAGTCGATTTTAAATTTGTAGCAAACACATAAACAAATCAACAGACCGACAAGACATTCAGTTCCGTTCTCTAGCTCTCTAGAAAAATAGTTAGTAATCGAATGGAAAATGTGTACCAAAACAAACACACTAGAGAGGGATTTACAAAAACGGTTAAATAGGTACACAATAATACTAATAATAATAACAAAAAACAGGCAGGAGATGGGCAGCAGCATCTTCCTGATAACAGCAACTGTACGACAAAAAAAAAACTGCGGTTGCCAACCCGCTCGCCAAGCGTGGCAACTATGGCAATATACCCCCCCATGAACAATTACACAAATAGACGGCCCCCAGTCCCCGGCGGCCCCGCTATTCCTGGCTACGGTGGCGACCATGGTAACGGCGGGGCAGGGGGTGCTAAGAATCTCCGGTGGAGGTTCGGTTGCCACCTACGACGACTCGACCTGGCAACATTTAACGCACGCACACTGAGGACTGACGAGAAGATCCTGGAGCTGGAAGAAGAGATAGACAAGTTGCGCTGGAGTATTATAGGATTATCCGAGGTCCGAAGAGAGGGGGAGGACACGGTGATTCTCGAATCCGGCAACTTGTTCTATCACCGGGAGGGCGACCATCTGTCCCAAGGAGGTGTCGGATTTATCGTCCACAAGTCTCTCGTCAACAACGTTGTACAGATTGAGAGTGTGTCGACGAGGGTCGCGTACCTGATACTCAGAATCACCAAACGGTATTCGCTGAAGGTCATACAGGTTTACGCACCAACGTCGGCACATTCCGATGAGGAGGTGGAGGAAATGTATGAGGATATTTCCAAAGCCATACATTCCTCCAAAACCCACTACACGGTGTTGATGGGAGACTTCAACGCAAAACTAGGCACAAGAGAAAGCGGTGAGCTGAAGTTAGGGAAATTTGGAGTAGGGCAACGGAACCGAAGGGGCCAGCAGCTGGCCGACTTTATGGAGAAAGAGGGACTCTTTATGATGAACTCTTTCTTCCAGAAGCGGCCCCACAGGAAGTGGACCTGGTCGAGCCCCGACGGTTCGACAAAAAATGAGATTGACTTCATTATGACGACCAGACGCCAACTGTTCAGTGATGTCTCAGTGATCGCAAGGGTGAAAACTGGCAGCGATCACCGAATGGTTAGAGGCACACTGAACCTAAACGTTAAGTTGGAGAGGTCTCGTCTAATGAAGTCAACGCTCCGTCCCCCCTCGTGCTCTGATCCAAAATCCCGAAAACTTTCAGCTCGAGTTACACAACCGCTTTCAGTGCCTACAAGATTGCAATGCAGTGGACGATATGAATGACAAGCTCGTGGAAACTGTCCATGCGGTCGGAGCTAAGTTCTGCAAGACCCGCCGCAGAAGAACACAAAAACTCTCCGATCACACTCTTAATCTCATGGCTGTTAGACGGGAGATGAGGCTGCAATCGTCAACAGATTTGACAGCATACAGGCAACTGAACAGACAGATCTCCAAATGCATGCGGCGAGACTTACGCAACTTTAATACTGCTCGTATTAAAGAAGCGATCGAGCGGAACCAGGGCTCCAAAGTCTTTGCCAGAGATCTATCTGCCAGAAAGAGCCAACTGTCAAGGCTGAAGACTGAGTGTGGCAGCATCGTTTCCGGGACACCTGAGATTTTGAGTGAGATTGAGAGGTTCTATGGGCAGCTGTACACATCATCGTTGGAGCCACACGCAAGTGTGAGTAACGATCCAAGAGCAAGTCTTATCCGACACTATTCCGATGATATCCCGGACGTCAGTCTAAGCGAGATTAGAATGGCTCTCCAGCACCTTAAAAACGGCAGGGCCCCAGGCGAGGATGGAATTACAGCGGAGCTTCTGAAAGCGGGTGGAACACCGGTACTTGAAGTCCTTCAGAAGCTCTTCAATTCCGTCCTCCATGGTGGCACTACTCCAGAGGCGTGGAGCAGAAGTGCGGTGGTCTTGTTCTTTAAGAAAGGCGACAACGCTCTCTTGAAGAACTACAGACCGATTTCCCTTCTGAGCCGCGTCTACGTGCTGTTTACGAGAGTCATTACGAATCGTCTCGCACGCAGACTCGACGACTTCCAGCCTCCCGAACAAGCCGGTTTCCGAAAAGGCTTCAGTACCATAGACCACATACATACCCTGCGGCAGATTGTACAGAAGACTGAAGAGTACAATTTGCCACTTTGCCTGGCGTATGTGGACTATGAGAAAGCCTTTGATTCCGTCGAAATTTGGGCGGTGCTGCAGTCCCTTCAGCGGTGCCAAGTTGACTGTCGGTATATTGAAGTGCTGAAGTGTTTGTACAGTAGGGCTACGATGGCTATCCGAGTACAGAACCAGAGCTCGAAACCTATCCAACTGCAGAGAGGTGTAAGACAGGGTGACGTTATATCCCCGAAACTCTTCACCGCTGCTTTGGAAGACGTTTTCAAGCTACTGGACTGGAAAGGATACGGTATTAACATCAATGGCGAGTACATCACTCACCTTCGATTTGCCGACGATATAGTCCTTATGGCAGAATCGCTGGAGGACTTAAGCACTATGCTCAATGACCTCAATAGTGCCTCCCAACGGATAGGTCTTAAGATGAACATGGACAAAACAAAGATTATGTTTAATGTCCATGTCACACCTATGCCGGTAGTTGTTGGGAGCACTATGCTCGAAGTTGTTGACGAGTACGTTTACCTGGGACAAATAGTCCGACTAGGTAAGTCCAACTTCGACCGAGAGGTCAATCGACGGATTCAACTCGGCTGGGCAGCGTTCGGGAAATTACGACATATCTTCTCGTCAGGTATACCTCAATCTCTGAAAACTAAAGTGTACAACCAGTGCGTGTTGCCAGTGATGACTTACGGATCAGAGACGTGGTCCTTCACTGCTGGCCGTATGAGGACGCTCAAGGTCGCTCAGCGAGCTATGGAGAGGGCTATGCTCGGAGTTTCTCTGCGTGATAGACTCAGAAATGAGGATATCCGCAGTAAAACCAGATTGACCGACATAGCCCAACGGATTAGTAAGCTGAAGTGGCAATGGGCCGGCCATATAGCTCGAAGAACCGATAACCGATGGGGAAGAAAGGTTCTCGAGTGGCAGCCTCGTACCGGTAGGCGTAGTGTAGGGCGACCCCCCACTAGATGGAGTGACGACCTGGTAAGATATGCAGGAAGTCGATGGATGCAGGTGGCTCAGGACCGTGCTTTGTGGCATTACTTGGGGGAGGCCTATGTTCAGCAGTGGACTTGTGAAGGGCTGTGATGATGATGATGATGATGAGGTACACAATTTTGGGTTAATTATACTAACGTAGATTAATGTTAGTTAGTAACTTATTAGATTTAGTTCATTTAATTATTTTAAAGAAATAATTTATTAAAAAAATCAGTTCGTCCTTTTGGAATATTTATATGTTTTTCCCACAGAAATCGTAATAATATTGTCTTATTACTATTTCTGTAGTTTTTCCCGACGTACATATTTTGCTGACGGTACAAAACAGTACAAACCATACATAGTTGTCTGACGGTGACAAGTAAACAGTGAAGTTATTACTTATTACCAAACGTTATCCTATTCTAATCGTGCGTGCATAGAAAAGACAGCGGCGCGAGTCGTGAGCTACAGGGGTATAGTCACAGAAATCGTAATAAGATAGTAGTGGAGCAAGCTTGCCAGTTTGCAACTGCAAATTAAATTCCCCAGTCTCCAGCAAATGTACGAATGATAATGAAAGGCGAGTTATCCAAAAGAGGATCACGACCTTCAGGGCCGAACGGGTGAAAGAATTCGTCCGTCCTAGACCTGTACCCTTGTCCTTGCCCTTATATGTTTGTATTTTCTAAACCGATTCAGCATATCCAAAGTCTATGGGTGGCCCTAACCCATTAATTGCCTCATAGCGAGGATACTTGACATAGTTGTCACTTGGCAGACGGTTAAGCAATCCCAGTTTTTTTTTTCGTTGTTATTAGGAAAACATTGCCCATATCCCGGCTTGTGTCCCTCTGTCGCTTCCTATGACATCCACTGGATGACATGGGGCAGTGGGCATTCGCAACTAAATGGTTGTACAAAAGAGATCTGTAAAGATTTTTGTTTCAACGCTGCTGCCCATTTGCTGGTTCGTTCTCCTGTACTGCCTTCTACGACATCCACGGTATGATATGGGGATAGTGGATATTCTTACGGCCACTACACGGTTGTGCTCGCGACTCGCGCCGCTATACGCTTACGTAAGGTGGCAACAGAAGTGATCACCGCTACCGTCGTCATCACCTGGCTGGCGCGAGCAGCAGGCGCCGGCCGCCCACATGAGCCGCGCGCCGCCGGTCAGCTGCCGCGCGCGCTCTCCTCCCGCGCCCCGCGCCTCACACCCGTGCCCGCCACCCTCTGCAACAAACACACACAACATTCGTCAGTCTACTTTACTCAACTCTTCCCGAGACATCGTGATGATAGCAATGATGCACGTGCTGGGGGGCGGGAACTTCTGCCCCCGGCACGTGCTTCCAATAAACCAAGCGAAAACGGACGCGGATGTGTTCGAACGGAGACCCCGGGACCCTTTGAATACGCTAATAGGGTTTTTATACGTGGTAGAGCCAGAGGAGGACCACGCTCTTACGGAGTAAAATAGCAGCTTAATGCTAATTTGTTTCGTATGGTGAGCGTAAAGAACCGAAGACCTTTTTACGGGAAACGACGCATTACATCGTAGACCTCAGGGGTCTTGGGCCACAATAACCAAAAACTATCAGGTGGACTGTAGTTCGTTTGTCACCTTTATACTAAAAAAAATGCAAACTTGTAATGTTTGTAATTTACTCCTACCATAAGTGAATTCATCATCATATTTTGCCCCTGGGGTGCTGTAAAAGAAGACTTTGGTAAGAGGTAGAAAGATCTCACAAACTCCAATAGATGCCGTTATACAATCTTAATATAAAATATCTAGGCTAGTCTTAGAGGGCATCGTCAAAGTGTGTAACATCTGGTGATGAGAACGCTAACCTGTCTGCCATTGTAAGAAAGCATAACCTTCCGACAATAGCAGGAGCGGAGACAGGTCTTCCATGTACAATAACTGTAACTGATAAAGAAGTAGGTGTCCACCACGTGTATTTCGCAGACAAATATTATTTATGTAGCTGGTATCGTCTCAGTGACAATTATAGGATAATAGTGAAAAACGAGCACGCAGTCCACCTGATAATAAGTAGTTACTGTGGCCCATAGACATCTACATCTATCCTCGATTAGGAACCAAAATGCCGATACGTTGTCACCAGTGAGGACTAAGATAGAATATCTCGTTTCCAGTAAAAACGGTCTCTGGTTCTCTACACTCACCATACGAAATACGACAGCTTCAAGCTGCTATTTTATGCTAGTATTCTCCGAGAGTGTCGTCCTTCCCCGGTCGAGCCGACCTAATAATGCTACAACTATACTACTAATATAACTGCAGCATGACTCTAACATGTAAAAGACCACATACTTGCTACCCTGGTGATATTTGTAGATTTTCAGAATGTGCAATGTTAGATTTTAAGAGGGTCAGTAATTTAGAAGGTTTTTCACACACCTACCTACATTTTAACTACAGATCAGGTATTGTGAATCCAGCCGGATACCGGATAATGACGTTATATGTATACGTATTGTGATATTACTCATTTTTATTTATTAAAGTCTGAGGAAAATGCTATATTAACCTCTAACAACAGAATATTTAAATTTTTCTACACAATTATAACAAGCAACCTTTAATTAACTTTGAGTATGAAATCAATTTTTTCTCTTAATACCGGCTTATGCTCGTGGGAAAATAATTTATTTTTATAATCATTGGGGCATCATTTAGGGATCTTACTCGACTTGACTGATTAGGGTCATATTCACTAAATATATTTTTGTCAAGATTGTGATAGAATTAGGATCACAGGTGGCTGTGATCGAGCAATCAGTAAATTTTATTTACACTGTGTAAGTCCGAACCGTTCCGCGCAGTGGCGGTGTAAGTATATCGACTATCTCATATCGTCTCGTGGATGTCGTAAATTAAATCCTTAAGGGGATATAGTGTCAGCTCAAATTCTAATTTCGCCCCCACTTCCCCGCGCGTCGTATGCTATGTACCGACATGTTTGTAATCACTAATACTGTAAGTACAAAGGTCGTTAGACACTTATTTCATTAGGTTTATCATATTTATGCCTGTTTCTTAACGCCAACCCAGTCGCTTCTTATTTTTATTACGGTCATTACCCATTTTAATTTTACGTCGTCCTGTTGCGTAATGTGTATTCTGATCGCAAGCGACACAACTTCTCCCTTCAAAAGCCTAAGCGATACTAACGGGCGGGTAACGGGGCGACAGCTTCAAGACGCCGATACTTTAGGTAATTTCTTTTTACAGTGAAAATAATGGTATTTAAAAAAAGTAAATAACATAAGCACTGCTTTATAGTTAGTTTAGTTACTATGCAAAGTTTCATGATCTTATTTAAAGTATTTTATGAATAACAGCGGTTTATTGTTCATTTTGGAGGTATCTTTGGATTTTTTTTTCTATCGAAAAATTTTTACGAAATCGTGTTTTCGTCTAACATAGGCCTTAACATCAATCTCCAACTTTACCATATATTTATTTCAAAATTAATGCTGCAAAACTTTCGGCATAACGGAGGATCTTGCTAAGCCATTTGAGGTTATATTTCCCCTTAAAGGTAAAATTATAAGTTATAACTGTGCTTATCAGACCTGCGGGTGAATTTGTTTATACATTGTTCTTCGATGGATACATACAATATGAAAATTGTATTCTTAATGAGTCTCCTTTATTTGCGTTATACGCGATCAATTAGAATTTTATCATCGGTGTACCACTATTGAATAGCAATGAAATAGTTAATAGCCATTTCGTGTTTAATTAATTGCTTCTCGCTTGGCACTGGTCACTATGTAAAATGGGAAGAAGATCTCAAACACTCCGGTAAATTTTGGTGTCGTTCTCGAATACCTCAGAAGTAAATTAAATGGCCTGACGGTTGGCATGGGGACAGTGGCATTGTGAGAAGACTGACACCGCGATCGTCAATTCACTTGCTATTCTGAATGTTGGTGATGTACATAATATTGTACTTCAGGCATCTTCATAAAAACAAATGAAATTCATAAAAGAAGTAAATAAAGTTACTGTGTCTTCTTACTAACGAATAAACACAAACTGCGATTGGCAACCCGCTTGCACCCATAGTCCCCATGAGGCAATCTTTGGAGGTGGCCTACTCGAATGTTTAGCAGTAGACTTTAATAGGCTTTTTTTATAGGATAAGGGTGATAAACGAGCGCACAGTCCACCTGATGGTAAGTGGATGCTGTGGCCCATAGACATCTACATTCGATTAAGAATCAAAATACAAATGTGTTGTCACCTCTGAGGACTAAGATGGAATGCCTCGATCCCAGTAAAACGAGTCCCCGATTCTCTACACTCACCATACGAAACACAGCAGCTTTAAGTTGCACATTTTACGCTCGTTTTCTGTAAAAGCGTGGTCCTTCCCCGGACAAGCCGATCCATACATGCTACAACCTTAATAATGCTGCAGCGTGGCTCTATCATATAAAAAAGTCTGTAACGGTAACGGTAAGTCTGAAATAACTTAGAAGTGAAATTCGTCGGAAACCTATGGAAAGAGCAGAACAACGTCTGCTCATTGTACATATAACTTGGCGCGTCTGTTAGTGATCGTGTAACTTCTGATTGACTGCTGATTGAGGTTATTCATACCACTTTTTTGTCGAAAAATTGGTTCATAGTTATGCGTGGATCCAATAGATTAATAGATGGCGGATAACGGATGGTGGAGAATTAATAGATGGCGGATAACGGATGGTGGAGAATTAATAGATGGCGGATAACGGATGGTGGAGAATTAATAGATGGCGGATAACGGATGGTGGAGAATTAATAGATGGCGGATAACGGATGGTGGAGAATTAATAGATGGCGGATAACGGATGGTGGAGAATTAATAGATGGCGGATAACGGATGGTGGAGAATTAATAGATGGCGGATAACGGATGGTGGAGAATTAATAGATGGCGGATAACGGATGGTGGAGAATTAATAGATGGCGGATAACGGATGGTGGAGAATTAATAGATGGCGCTACAGTTAAGTTATTAACAAATTCTATAACTATGGACCAAAATGTCCCTTATTCGCAGTATATGTTGGTATAGTGCCAAAAATATAACAAAACCTTGACCCGATAGGTAGCGCTGTAGTCGATTTTTAATGATTATTTACCTATATTGTAAATTTTATATACATAAAATTGTTAATCTGTTTTGTTTACAGAAATAATAAATGTAATCGGAAAGGGCTCAATAGCGTTTGACAGGCCGGGTAGTTTTGTTATAAAAGATTTGAATACCACATGGATTTCACTCTTGGGCTCGTATTTTGAAGCAGCAACTCCGCCATATTATGTTTAAGAGGTGAGCAATCTCTTGAAGGAGCGTCTGCAGAGTAACCTGACCGCACTTAACCCGTCAACAACTGAGTGCGAATCAATCAACCCGTATAATTATTTCCGACTATTGATCGAGCAAAAATATCAGTGGGTAGGCCTCATAAAAAAAGTTACTTCGATCGCTCTGCGGGTACACGAATACTCGTGGAGCTGGAGTATATATATAATATATAAACCTTCGCCATAGTCTAAGTCACCTAGATTCCTTATCAACCCGTAATAGTCCACGGCTGGACATGGGCCTCTGAGGCCCGGCCTCACTTGTATTTATATAATAGCCAACATTGGCAGAAAAACTAGTCTATAATGTCTAGATTAGTACACATACATCTGGATAGTGACGGCGCAAAAATGTCCACTATCCCTTACTATCCCATCACTTGGATGTGAGGAAACAAGAGGTTGGTAGCACTATCTTCCTGAAAACAACCGGAAATAATAAAAATCTACAGTTGCTAAGCATAGTTTGCTTATGTCTATACTCTAAGGGTTAAGTAATGAATGAATGAGTAAATTAATACATATAAGAAATAAATCAGGTTGTACAAAAGATATTAAGCATACGTGGTAGAGCTATGTAATACAATATACAATACAGAAAGACAAGCTATATTATTGGTACATGATGGGTCGGCTCGATCGGGACGGACAACGCTCTCACAGAATACCAACGTGAATTTCAATGCTGCTGTGTTACGTACGGTGAGTGTAGAGAACCGGGGACCCTTTTTACTGGAAACGAGGCATTCTATCTTAGTTCTCAGGTGTGGCAACGCATCTGCACTTTGATTCTTAATCGAGGATAGGTGTAGATGTCCATGGGTCACAGCATCCACTCACCATTAGGTAGACTGTGGGCTCGTTTGTCAACATTATTCGATAAAAAAAGCATTGGTATGGTTTCTTAAATAATAAGAAGGAAACAGCAAGGAATAAAAATCATTTTAATTAACTCAGTTATCCATAAATATAGCACAGAATTAAAGTATGATACGGTCACAGTTTAAGTATTAAATCTGCTATGTCCGCGTCAAAGATTTGTCATGTACGCTATTTTTGGCAGCTATTACTCCATCGCAATACCGACAAAGCTAAAATAGCCGTGAAGGTTTGTAAACAAAAAAACGTTTCTTATTGTATCCGCTTATTGGAATTAGGGCCGTCCATGTTATTGATTTTGAATGAGAACTATTAATTTAACGGTACATAAAATCGAATTTAGTAAAACGATAAAAATATCAGATCATGCAGAAAGTAAGACGTAAAAATAAATGACACTGGGCAGTTATAACTTATTTTGAAAATAGGAATATTCACTAGTAAAAATACGAATTTCAAATTTCCCTTCATATTTATTTCCGAGCCAAATTGAAACATAGGACAAAATATAGGACTTGCGTCGGTAAAATTTTCTCATGATGATTTTTTACAATTGCTTAATTATGTCGCCTATAACTGGACTAGTGTTTATTTTTTATAGGAGAGGTGGCAAACGAGCATGCGGCTCACCTGATGTTAATTGACTACCGC